GAGCAGCTTGGCGCACTCTCGCAAAAATGCGAATATCTCTCTATTCCTAGATCGTATCGACGAACGGTTTAATGCGTTGGAAATTAGACTCATAGATCTTCAATTTGATAGGTATATCACCTCATAATTCCAAGCACATTGGGATAAAAATGCAGTAACATTTAACCTAAAGTTTAAGTAAAATTATAAACCTAAGTTGCAACAACTTTTATCGACTTTTGTTTCATAACTCGCTTGACTTCAAAACTTATGATACGGATATTATATGATTCAAATACATTAAAACAAGACCTCTTGGGACATTTAATCACCTCTAGTGTTATCCGAAAATACGGGTTACAACATCCTTGATTCGTTTAACTTGTAATACTTGTTAACCACTCTTATACACCCTTGTATTGTTTAAGACCAATAGGATTAACTTCTTATCATCTAAAAGATAATCTCTTCTTGGATTTACGTCGAATAACTTACGGCGTGATCTATGATATGCGAATTTGGGTTGTAACACATATGATGACTCAATGCATGGAACTGGTCCTTTGCTATGTTGCTCATTGTTCTTGACGCCTTGAAGTCACTCGCAGGTTGGCAATACACTTGAGAGAGATTGATGAATTCTAGAGTGTGCAAGTGCAATGTTTTGCCTTTGCTTCATGTTAATATTATATAAGTGACATCACTTGAATGATGCAAGCATGGTTGGTACAAAGGCATTCCCCATAAAGTGACTACTCCACCGTTTGCATTGTTGCGTGTATACAGAGGAACAGTTGCAGTCATTTTACAGCTGTGGGGAGTTGACTGGTACTGTCAGCAAGGGAACTGATGTCGATCTGTTCCCTCTGTTGTTTCTTGGACTCTGAATATTGGAACATGTCCCAAGCTTGAGACTTATTAATTTTGAGCACTCAAAGGATGTGGAACAGGTTTCCCATCTGGTTCTCAACAAAGTTTGTTAAATCATCAAATCATAGCAAGACATATAACTTATCAATTTTTTCCTTTTTGATGATGACAAACTTGTAATTGAAATTCCCCCAGAGACTGCTTGTTCCCCCTCAATTAATTTTCCCCTTTGGCATCATAAAAAGATTAGTGACAGACAATAAGAGAAAAGAAGTCTAGCCTGATTAACTCATGCCACTTGTGTGCACACAAACATGACTGAAAATAGAGCAAGAAGCAGACAAGATAAGCATCACAAAAGAATAGGATAATCATTAATTTTGGAAATAAACAGGGAGCAGTTCCATTTATTGCAAAATCATCCACAAAATAAAAACAACAAAAAAAGGTACCAGCCACTAAACATATCCAAATTCAGAACACCAAAACAGAGAACAAACACTAGAGCTTGACACTGGGAAGGGAATGATTTTAAGGAGCACTGGAAGGGGGGGAAAAGATGAGGAGGCAAGAGTTCTAAGGAGGATATCCATTCGATCATTGGCAGACCTTTGCTCAGTGAGTAACCTCTCCTTCAGGTCCTCGACTTGTTGCATGAGATCAGCATTCTCCTTGGTCAGACAGGCAACCTCTGTGATGTGTGTGCTACTGGAACCTGGTGCCTCCTGGGCCTGACTAAGTTGTCCCTCAAGAATAGCATTTCGGGCCTTCAACTTCTTTATCTCTTCATTGGCAATGTTCTGAGCTTCAATCAGTTGACAGATTGCTGCCGACCCCTCCTTTCTTATCGATGCTTTCACACTCTTCTAAGGTGGTTTTGGAGAAGGTATGCTTGCGAGTACCCACTGAGGCCTTTCCTAACGGAACTTTGAAGAACTCAAAGACTTTGGTGAGCAAGAACCCGTAGGGCAGCCCATGATTACCATCCTTGAAATCTGCCACTTTCTTCATATGCTCAATCATGATACCGGGCAGATTGATAGTGGAGTATGCATCCAGTGCTTCCATGAGGAACAAGTCTGCTCGAGACGTAATAGAATGTCTTTCTGCACGAGGGAGCAACACTTTGTTCACCATCTCAAATAACATCTGGTACACTGGAAGGAGGTCCTTCTTGTGTACCCGTTCCCCATACTGTACGGCATCATCCTTCAAAATGGCATTTCTGAAATTGGAAGAACAAGTCCCCTCGATGGAGGATATTCCACCAGTAGGCACACCCAGGATGGTTCCCAACATAACCTCATCCATCACAAAGTCGACATTGTTCACCCTCATACAGATGCTGTCATCTTCCACTGTGAAAAAGTCAGCATAGAAACTGTGCACCTCTGTCTCATACACCTTAGGACTCTCATTTGTGAACAAATGTGTCCACTGTTAAAAGTCACAGATATCCACCAGTTAGCGCATTGCAGGCATGTCAAGAATATCAGGGGCAAATGTTCTACCCCACGGCACTTTCTGATTTCTCAGATTCTCCCTTCTTTCATTCTTGGCCACCCCCACCTTGGTACTTTTTGAGGAACCAGGTTCCTTATTGGCACCAGCCTTCCGTTTCACTAATTTTCTCACACTTTTAGCTTTCTCTGCAGGTTTCTCAGACACAGATTTCTCAAATACGTTCTTACCAGACCCCTCAGCCATTTTTTTCTCCAGACTCACCCACTTCAACATTACTAACCTCCATCACTTTCACCGAGGACTCTTTTCCAGATTTTTGAACAGCAGGTTTCTTGGATGACTTACGGATTAAGGGACTGGGTTCCTCATCCATCTCATCATCAATGTCGACAACAAGAGCTATAGGCACTACCTTTTCATGTACTAACTTTCCACCCTTCACCAACCTTCTCCTCTTCTTTTCTTTCTTATTTTTCTTCAGAGCTAACTCAAGAGCCTCCTTCTGTTACAGCCTAATAGTAGGTCTTTTAAGAGTGGGTGTTTTGGGAGTTTCCCCGCTACTCCTAGCACTAATAAAGCTTGCAAGAGCCACATTATCATAGTATTCTTCATTACTTTCATTCTCCTCCTCAGACAGAGATATCATCTCGGGAGCAACAATTGTCAATGGCTCAACATAGAAATGAGGAAAGGGGGCGGGATCAGTACTGACATGGGTTCTTTTAATTAACATGGGGTTTCATCCCAAGTAGGAGAAGAGGGCTCCTCTTGGGCGGAGGGATCAGGTCCCTCGAGTGGTTCCCCAGTAGTACTTTCAGGTGCCAAAATTTTGATAGGCACCAATTCCCTACCCTCTTCCTGTAGACTCTCACCTTCCCCCTGAGACCCATTGGTTTCAGACACACCTTCATAGCAACCATCCACATACCCCTCAAAAGATATTGACAACATATTCTCTATGGCCTCTCGTTCTTCTAACCCCAACGGAAACTCAAAAGGCACAGAAGGAATATTACCCGTAAGATCTACAGCATTCAAATAGAGACTTGGGGTAGTCATTATGTTAACCACACTTTGTTGTGCCTCAGAACTTTCTTCCAAACACAGACTTGAAACTTCCTAACTTTCTTCTCCCTCTACTGTTTCTTTCTCAGCCATTTTTTTCGGCGAGACGGAGAGAGAGGCCGAAGCTACAAACCTCTTGGGATTCGAGGTCTTGCGACTCCGATGAGAACCAGAACTTGATTGGTTTGGATAAGAGGCAGTGGGTGGTTGGGAATCACGTTTAGGGTTTGGACTGGGTAGTATAGGGCCTTTCACTGGTGCTTCAAGATATGAAGATATGGTGTGGACAATACTAGGAACATTTGAGGATTCGAGATTTTCATACATTATGAAGTGGAGTGAGAGTTTATGAAAGAATAGAGTGTTCGATTGTTTGGGAGAAAAAGGGTGATTTACATCTCGTTACATGTAAAGGTTAAGTTACAGCTTATTATCCAAACATCACTATTTTTAAACATCCTAAAAAGAGTATCACTACAGTGTGGGGGTAAAATCGGGGATAGAGTTATCCCCGATTTCCCGTTTAGAAGCAAGGAATAACGTTACTCGTTACTAGCTCGAGTAAGACCGAGGGTGCCCAGGATCGGAACCAGGAGCGGACGAATAATACATTAGGAATCGAGCATGGCTGAACCCGGGGAGATTCCAGCTCGAGCGATACGAAGAATCGAGGGTAAAGAAAGACGGTTAAAGAAGACAAACAAAGAACCAAAATATCCGCCATCAGCCGGATATTACGGCGCGGATCACGTTCGGTATTGGCTATAGATCATGTTTTCATGAGAGAAGGAAAGAGAGGATTTTTACCTTATTTAGACTTGTATTAGTGTTAAAACTCCTCTACTATGTAAATAGGAGAACCTTTTCTTTTTTTTGATACTGTTACTGGCACGCATATCAAAGCAATAAAGTTTATTTTGGGCTTTTAGCAATTGTTCAAGTGTTCTTCAGCTGTTCATCTATTTAGTTGCAACGGAGCTCTTTTCCAAGGGCTCGACTGAAATCGATCTTTAGCATTCGAGTCTAATGCCCGGCTTAATTACTTCGCCACACTTGGTTTGATCATTTATCTTCTTTTAATTCAATTACTTACTGTTCTTTGATCATTTGTGTTAAATTATACCACATATCTTTTAAACCGCGTACAAATTTAATTATTATACATTTTAAAGGTAAACAACTAACGTAAGTGGGCCCTCCACACGATTCAAACGAATCGCAGTGCCTTTTTTCACGCATTAAAAGGTTGCAAAGACTATTAATTAATGTTTGGATTTAATTGATTTACGAGACCATAGGCAGGGTACGATATTTGGAGGGATGTTGGAGTATTTACAACATAGGACAGGTACACAATTAGATTTTGGTAGCAAACAACAACAACAAAAAAAAAATCCAGTGTATTCCCACATTTTGGAGTCTGGGGAGGGTAGTGTGTACGCAGACCTAACCCCTATCTCGTGGAGATATAGAGCCTATTTCCAATAGCCCTTAGTTCAGTGAAGCATAAGCACTAAAGTAATGAAAAGAAGACAGCCAGACACAACGAGAAGCCATAAAAAAAAAGCATTAAAACAGCAAGATAGTAAGATGACAAAAATAAAAGCAACAACAGGCAATAATAGAAACTTAAGACTAAAAACAGTACGAGAGTACGTATTAATGCTACTAGTAAGAACAAGAAAAACCACTCGGTCACCTAACAATAGTGCACTGAATAAGATGACTAGACCAAAAGTTTCACAAGAATCAACTCTCCCAGTAGTATATGTGAGCAACAAACTCTAACAAGCCATAATTATCTGCCCTCCCATTTCCTAATTGAAGCAAGAGTCAGCCAAGACAGTGTTATTGTACACAATTATACATAGATACATGTTTCCACTACTAGCCTTGCACGGTTTTCATATTTCTCCACACCTAAGCCTCCCAACGTAAAATCTCATTCCAAAATGAACAATGTTTAATCAGAGGAGTGGACTAAGCACCAAAATGAATTGATTTCCACAAGTTCACAAGACTAGTAGTTACATTGCGTGTGTCGAAATGTTAACATCTTCCTCGGGTGATAAATGGATTCCAATTCCATCTCCTGCTGCGGCAATAACAATGAGCATGCTGATGCCAAGGTGGCTGCTGGTACTGTTTGTTGAAAATGCCTCAAAAGATTAATCATGCATTTTTTAGTTTCATCTGTAGCAAGATTCTCTCCAACACATAAAACCTTACATAAAAGAACCAACTTTCAATTACTTCATGGCTACATCAACATAAAAGATAATCTGATGCAAATGTCAAAGTACAATAAGACAGTCATAAAATTAGATTAATCAACTACAGTCAAACCTCTTTATAACAATCTCGTTTGTTCCAATATTTTTTGGCTGCTATAGTTAAGTGTTGTTATAGAGAACATATTATATTATAATATAACATGAGATATTGGTTCCAAAGAAAACTTGGAAGTTATAGTGAAGTTTTATTATAAAGGATGGTTGTTATAGAGAGGTCTTGTTGTACACAAACGAAACAAACAAAAATGCAATGTCAAATTAACCCTCTAATAGACAGATGGAGAGCTAATTGTCAACTGACTAACGCATAATGCAATTAGGAAATAAAAAGACATATATCAGATGCATAAGATTTCTACTGCCTTTCTTTCTTTTCTTTGCCTATTAGTCTATTACGCAGGGGCCAGGGAAAGGGAAGGGAGAAAATCAAACTCAAATCTTTTGCACAAATGATGACTCATTCTAACATCTGCTACTTGTAATTTTGAACTAACCTCTACAAAAACTGAAATAACCTTTGGAAGGTACTGATAGTTGGGACCCAAAAGTTCTCCGTCTGATCTGTAAGTTAGAAGATTTTGTTAAACATTCAAGATTAAAAAACATTAGTACGCGAGATTACATTTTAGAGTCTGCAAACATTGGTTAATTTAGTTAATTGAAAAACCAAAAAATCCCAGTAACAATCACCATGAAAGATAATTTTGCTAAGTAAAAGGAATATATCAATTGCTAAAGCAGCATTTTGTATGAATGTGTTAGGAAAGTATAGGAAATTAGAAATTTAATATCAAGAAAAATAATATATAATTGTGTAAATTTCAGGAATCTGATTCAAGATTACTTGGCCAAAGGTTTGTTCCGGATAGCAGACCGACCAATGGGAATCGAGACATCACCGTTTGCGCTTCGTATTTTATTTCTCAGCCTTTTGATACTCAGAATTTTAAAATGATTTTTAGACTTGATTAACATGGTTTTTACCTCATACATTGAATTTAGTTGTAGTTCTTTCAAGTTCTTTGTAGGATGATGGTGGTTGATGTAACAAAAGGAAAGTTTCAAAAAATAGTAAAACAAAAGAGGTAACGAGAAAACTAATTCAATACCTTTCAACCATTGAACAGAGCTGTTTGTGAACTACTTTGGCTTTAACCGTGTCCTCTTTTATGGGCAGACAATTCAACCAAGCCGGAATAATCTACCAAAAAACCTCGAATAAGAATTTTGTGGTATTTTTACAAGATTATGAAGTACATTGGAAGAGCATCATTTCATCTTGGAAGATGTATTCAGTCTAAAAAATTTAAACCAAAAGATTATAGCTAGTTTAAAACCACTGATGTATGAAATGAAGTGCTCAAAATCTAAACCTGATAATTTAGAATAACTATAGTATATACAAACTGAAGATAGATTTAATGCATGAACAAGAAAACATCTCGGATTCCCCAGAAAAACATACCTGTGTTGAATCGATACTTTCCTGATGAAATTGACATATCTTACCAAGCGCAAAAGCAGCATTATAATATGCACTTAAATTCTCAGGTTCACGATCGTGTAGATGTGTTATCACTACATTGATTCTCGAAAGAGCCTCTGAAACACACCATGAGATTTAGTAAGTAGTAAATACAAAAATATATCACTCTTCGTCCATTTCCCCCTGATGAGAAGGATCTCAATATCAGATTCAACAGTATCTTACCTCCAACAAAAGGTTTGAAAACAGAACCACCATGTTCCGCACACAACCCAAGTCCATAAAGCGCATTCTGAACATGACGTTAATGGTGTTTGGATAAATCAAAAAGAAAATGTAAACGACTGAAAACTGACCCGTCTACCAAGATAGACAAACCTGTCTAACAACTGGATTTTCGTCGTCACTTGAGTCCAAAAGAAAAGGAAGATATATATTATAGTACCTAGTTTGGAAAGAAAGTGACCATCAGAATTATGATCTTGAAAGGGCAACCCGGTGCACTAAGCTCCGGCTATGCGCGGGTCCAGGGAAGGGCCGAACCACAAGGTTCTATTGTACGCAGCCTTACCCTGCATTTCTGCAAGAGGAGAGGCTGTTTCCAAGGCTTCCTCCTAGTCATATGGTAACAACTTTACCAGTTATGGCAAGGCTCCCCTTCATCGGAATTATGATCTTATTTAAGAAAAACATAGATATAGACCTACTTTAGAGCTGCTTCGCCGCAATACACCACAAGTATGTCAAAAACATGAAAACACACACTTCTCTCTGCAGCTGTTTTATCCTTTCCCTTCAAGCAAGGGAAAAAACACAATGAGAAATATAAAGGAAAAACAACCTAGGGGTTAGAATGACATTGGTTATAGTGACCTGAAACTTACCATCATAGGCAATAGATATGATGAAAGCTCATCGAAAAAAGGTAAGAAAGCAGCCTTGAATGTTTGGATCAATGTAATCAATATGTTACCAACCTGATAAAACAAGTATAAGTGAGTCAAGAATACATTAAAGTGAAAGGCTAGTATAAAGATAATATGGTGTCATGAGTTGTATCTGAACTTCATTCTCTTATAAAACATACATTTCTGCAAACTTCTTCTTCTAGCTCTCTTACAGCCCTCAGCAATTCAGCCTCCTCAGCATCAAAGTCTTCTGATTTTGCTCTCTTTGCGAGTTCTCCATTTCTGCGTGAACTTTCCATAAGAACGTGCTTTATCTCATAGATGATGCTACGGACCTGATCTTCCATGAGAAGTGATCCACAGATCTGAAAGAAGTTACCAAAAGTACCATAATAAGTGAAAATTGCAGTTCAAACTCATTTGATTTCTACGACTAGTGCTGCTTCTTGCTTTGTCAATAATCATGAAGCAGTTCATTAGTTGGCTTAACAGTGATTTACTGAAAATAAGTTTCATTATGGAGTCAATCTAGTACATAGTTAATAATCTGTTTTCTGTCTTACCTATTCATGTCAAGGGAAATTTCGTAATTATGGGATTTATGGTAGGAAGAGGAGCCTAGGAGCAACGGGGTACGAGCTGTCGAAGCAGTCACTAATGTTTGCATTAGGGTAGGCTGTCTACATCACACCTCTTGGGGTCCCGCCCTTCTCAAGACCCTGCATGAATGCAGGATGCTTTGTTCATTGGGCAGCCCTTTATGGGATTTGAGGGACGAGCTTGGAAAAGTGTCTCGCTCATCCTAATGGGCATTATTTTAAGAATGGCTGAGAGAAGAAGAAGAACTTAATTGCAGCAACAGGCACAAACTGAGGTGGAGTCTAGGAAAGGGAAGTCCAAAGGGGGAACTGAACTCAAAAAATTGGAATGGGGTTTACAGGAGGGTAGTGGCAAGAAGGTTAGGGGCAGTTCTCAAAAAACTCACTCTAGATGAAGATAAAAATTGAGTTGGAATATACATAGTTTAAACAATAGGAATAAGAGAAGTACGCTAAAATCTCTCATTCACAAGTGGGGGATGTACATTCTCTGCTTACAGGAGACCTAAGTTGCTCCGACATGGCAGTTTAGGTGCCGTACCCGTGTCGACACGACACTAGTATGGGTGTGGGTATGGGATCCGTACCGGATCTGGTCAAACAATTTTGGATACTTTGACCACATCAGACAGAAAAATTCGAGACGAGATACAATTTGATTCCCGAAATCAGAACAAAAATTAGGGTAAATCTAAAGAAAATAGCATTACTTATCTAGGAAATCAATACTTTGCTTATCTACCACTTGAGAATAAAGAAATTCACACTTTACAAGCTAAGTATTCCACATAATTTCTCATAATTTAGAGATATTTTTATTTTTTTGAATTATTTTTAGCCGGATCCGCCCATCCGTACTCGTACTAGAATCCATATCCCCGAATCTTAGAATTTATATCTTGAAGGATCCAACCTCTAGATCCGCACCGGTGTCGGACACCCGCACCCGTGACCGAGCAACTTAGCAGGAGACTAAAATTGAAAACTGGAGCACTTCATTGATCAGTGAAAAATGGGGAAGCAGGTGGGTGGGTGTCATGGGTTGATCTTCCTGCATGTGACACCAAAGGGGGGATTCTAATTATGTGGGACGGGGGATTCTGGCACTGTGTTGATTCCCAATCTGGAACATTCACATTATCTTGCAGATTCGAGAGCTTAGCAGAAGACTTCAACTGGGTGTTCACAAGAGTCTATGGATCTCACACAAACCCAGAAAGAACTAAAATGTGATATGAACGTAACTAGCATCAATCAGAGGGCTTTGGTCTGATCAATGGGTAATTGGTGGTGATTTCAACGTGCGTAGGTTTGAAAGTGAAAGACTTAACTGTACAAGGAGGTCCAAAGCAATGAAGGGCTTCTCTGACACAATTCTAGACTTAAGCCTGATTGATATACCATTACAAGGAGCAGAATAACTTGGTCAAGAGGGGAGGATCACCTTCAGGCTTCAAGAATTGACAGATTCCCGATTTCTACTGAATGGAGTGACACCTTCAAAGCTGCAAAGCAGACTGTAATGCCTAGAGTTATTTCTAACCATAAACCAATCATGCTGGAGAGTGGAGACGAGGAAAACTCACCATCTTATTTTAAATTTGAGAATATGTGGCTTCAAACAGAAGGTTTCCTGGACTTAGTAAAAGGTTTGTGGCAGTCCTACACAATTAGAGGCTCTCCTGACTTCATACTATCTCAGAAATTAAGGAGCCTCAAGAAAGACATTAAAAAATGGAACAAGGAGATTTATGGAAAGATCGAAACTAAAAGAGACAGAGCTCTTGAAGAACTGGGAGTGCTGGAGTAAATAGCAGAACAGAGGGCACAGACTGCAGAGGAAAAATTAAAAGCTTTCAACCTGCTACTACAACTCCAACATATTGCAATTGCAGAGGAAACATCCTGGAGACAAAAATCTAGGTGTTTATGGCTGAAGGAGGGAGACAGGAACACCAAATATTTTCAAAGAATGGCAAACTCTCAGAGAAGAAACAATCATATTGACAAACTCAAAGTGGGTGAAGCATAATTGAAGACAAGATATGCATCAATCAAGAAATTTTGGATTATTATCGGAAACTATACCATGAGTTGGAACCTTGGAGGCCTACAACTAACTTTGGAGGGTTGTCTTCTTTAGCCACTGAGGAGAGTGAAGGGTTAGAAGCACCAAGACCTGATGGGTATACTATGGCTTTCTTTCAACAGTGCTGGGATATCATCAAGGCAGATATTTTGAATACTCTTAATTACTATCATCAGCAATGTCATATGGTAAAATCTTGCAATGTCACATTCACTGCACTTATACCTAAGAAAAAAGGAGGAATAGAGTTAAGGGATTGCAGACCTATTAGTCTAATAGGCAGCGTGTACAAGATAACTGCTAAAATTCTGACTAAAAGACTAAAGAAGATCATTGGCAAACTTGTTTCAGGTCAACAAAGTGCTTTCTTGAAAGATAGACAAATAACAGATGCTTCCCTGATAGCCAATGAAGTTTTGTATTGGAAACTCAAAAGTGGAGAAACTGGGATATTGTGCAAATTGGATATTGAAAAGGCTTTTGACCAATTAAATTGGTCATTTCTCATCAACATTCCGAAGGAGATGGGGTTTGGAGACAGGTGGCTAAGATGGATTTTTTTCAACATATCCATAGTCAAATACTCAGTGTTGGTTAACAGAAGTCCTGTAGGTTTCTTCTCCTCCGAAGAAGGCCTAAGGCAGGGAGACCTCCTCTCCCTTTCCTCTTTATACTAGCAATGGAAGGACTCACTCAAATGCTGGAGAAAGCCAAAGTAGTGCAATGGATACAAGGATTCCAAGTAGGAAGGAACCCTGACAATGCAGTCACTATTACCCATTTGTTGTATGCTGATGACACCCTAATATTCTGTAGGGCTGAGAGTTCTCAAGTATCATATCTAAACCTCTACTGATTTTTGAGTCTCCTTCTGGTTTGCACATTAACATGCTGAAGAGCATCATTTATCCTATCAATGAAGTCCCTAATCTAGAGGAGTTGGCAGACTTACTATGTTGCAAAATAGGCTCTCTACCTACCACCTATCTAGACCTGCCCCTAGGAGCTAAATTCAAGTCAGTAGGTATTTGGGGTGGCATCATTGAGAAAATGGAAAAGAGGTTGGCAACATGGCAATGAAATATCTTTCATTGGGTGAAAGACTCACACTTATCAACAGTGTTCTTAATAGTATTCCAATGTACTGTATGTCACTATACCCCATGCCAAGCTCAGTTCTGAAGCAGATGGATAAATTGAGAAGAAGATTTTTATGGCATGGAAACAACACAACTCAAAAGTTCTCACCGGTGAAATGGTCCAAAGTCACTCAGCCAAAAATCCAAGGGGGTTTGGGTATCAAGAATTTGAAGAATCGCAGCAAAAGCATGTTAATGAAATGGCTTTGGAGGTATGGGCAACAATAGGCAGGTTATTGGAAGACAATTATAGATGCTAAATTTGGTGCTCAAGGCCACTAGTGTACCAAGGAAAGTACATTACCACATGGGGTTGGAGTTTGGAAACACATCAGCAGTCACAAGAACGAATTTTTCCAGAACACATCCTTCAGAGTTGGCAATGGTCAACATAGCAAATTCTGAAAAGACAAATGGATTGACAGCACAACCCTACAAGAATCCTACTTATGTTTATATCAGCTTGCATGTAACAAGGATGTTTCTATTGCCCAATACAGAGAAAACAACAGCAGTTGGAACCTCAATTCAGAAGGAATCTTCAAGATTCGGAAACCAATGACCTACTCACTCTCCTTGAAGCCTTGGAAGACTCTACCTGACAGAATCTTATGGGGAAGCTCTAAAGAAGGGAGGTACACAATCAAACCTGGTTACTATTATCTGTGCTCTCAGAATGGCATCCTGGAGGATTGGCCATGAAAGCATATGTGGAAGATTAGACTACCTCTGAAAGTCTTATGCTTTTCTTAGATAGCACTTAATGGAGCATGCTTAACACAGGACAACCTCAACAAAAGAGGCATAACCTTAGTAAACAGATGCTATTTGTGCCACCAAAGTTCAGAGGATGTTTGCCACTTATTTCTACACTGCCCTCTCACAGCTGATCTTTGAAACTTCTTCCTTTCTATTTTAGCTTTACATTGGGCCATGCGTCAGAACATTAAGGAAGCATTTATTAGTTGGCATTTTTGGAGAGTTGATAAAACCATCAAAAGGATCTGGAGGATGATCCCAGCCGTAATCTTAGTGTCTGGACTGAAAGGAATAGCAAATGCTTTGATGGGATCTCAACTACAACTTACACTCTTAAGGCCAGATGCTTAGTTAGATTGTTTAGCTGGCATTTTCATTCCCCTGAAAACAATTGTTGATAATTTTTTGGATTTTGTTAGCTCCTTAATTCTAGGATAGACATAGTTCTGGAGCTAACTTTTTGGCTGCCATGTATTCCGCATCTTCTGGATGCCTTTTATTAATGATAATTATCGTGGGAGGAGACTCGGAACACTTTCCAATTACGATGGGGTTGCACCAGGGATCGGCTCTTAGCCCGTTCCTATTTGCCTTGACGATGGACGTGCTGACGCGACGCATCCAAGGGGAGGTACCTTGGTGCATGTTGTTTGCAGATGATATAGTGCTGATAGACGAGACTCGAGGCGGGGTCAATGCGAGGTTGGAGGTTTGGAGACAAACCTTAGAATCTAACGGTTTCAAGTTGAGCACGACCAAAACAAAGTACTTGGAGTGCAAATTCAGTGGCGGAACCCTTGAAGCTGATGTGGATATGAAGCTCGAGACTCAAGTCATCCCCAAGAGAAGTAGTTTCAAGTATCTCGGATCTATTATACAGGGTAACGGGGAGATCGACGAGGATATCACACATCGTATTGGAGCGGGATAGATGAAGTGGAGGCTTGCCTTCGGTGTTCTTTGCGATAAGAATATGCCGCCTAAACTTAAGGGTAATTTTTATAGAGTGGCGGTTCGACCTACCCTGCTATATGGGGCCGAGTGTTGGCCAGTCAAGAGCTCCCATGTGCAGAAGATGGAAGTAACAGAAATGAGAATGTTGAGATGGATGTGTGGGTGTACCAGGAGGGATAATATTAGGAATGAAGTTATTCGGGACAAACTGGAGTGGCCTCCGTGGAGGACAAGATGCAGGAGTCGAGGCTGAGATGGTTCGGGCATGTTGAGAAGCGTTGATGCTCCTGTTAGGAAGTGTGAGAGGTTGACCATGGCAGGTTTGAGAAAAGGTCGAGACAGACCTAAGAAGTACTGGGAGAAGTGATTAGGCAGTACATGGCGTGGCTTAAGATCACTGAGGACATGACCCTAGATAGGAGGGTGTGGAGGTCGAGGATTAGGGTAAAGGGTAGCAGGTAGTTGAGAGTTTTCCCCTTTCTTACTAGTAGTTCTAGTAGCACACATGTACTTTCATATCTCTCAGATTTATACTACACCATGTTGTTTAGTTTGTTTCAGTTACCGTATTCTCCTGTTATTACTATTTTGGTGCTTCCCTCCCCCCTTTTTTTACCCCGTCTTTCTACCTTTTTCTTCTTCTTTCTCTCCCTCTGCTTTTTATTCTTATTCTTCTTCTCCTTCTCCTCCCTACTTTTATGAGCCGAGGGTTTATTGGAAACAGCATCTCTACCTTCACTAGGTAGGGGTAAGGTCTGCGTACACACTACCTTCCCCAGACCCCAAGTATGGGAATATACTGGGTATATTGTTGTTGTACTTCATCAAAAAAAAAAAAAAAAAAAAAAAAAAAAAAAAAACTCAAAAGAATCACACCACCATCATAGGAAAAAAAACTGCATAATTGAATCAAAGTAAAGAAATTCATCTTAACATGACGTACCAATAGGCATTCATTCAATCCCCATAATATATTTGCACATATTTTTGCCTGAGGCTCCTGCATGAGATAGCAATCAAAGTGTCACTTTCTCATTATTCAGATAAATGGAGCTCAATCCTTTTCCCCAAAGGAAAAAAAAAACAGAAGCATATGTTGAAGGCAACTGAATATAAAGCATCCCCCAAAGCCAGTATTATATCGCCAGACAACTGCTTGAAGTGTGACTGGTTTCCACCTTGAGCAATCTCTTTATCTACCGCCAGTTTAGCAGAAGGCAACAGGGATGACAATGCTTAACCACCACAAATTATAACATCTCATCAGAAGTTGAAGGAGTTAAAATAAAAATGAAGAAAACCATATGAAATCGAGCAATTTTTTACCATAATTAGCATAGTTCCTGACATCATCGTCGATATAGAATTTAAGAAGCGGAACTAAAACTGAAACAACCTGTTTCATGATTTAAGCCATAAGTATCACCTGTTGTAAATCCACTTAACAGAACACGAGAAAATGTAATCGTGCAAGTGATTATTCATGCTAACCTGGGAAATCCATGGATAGAATTCTTCCTTCAAATTATGAGCATATCTACCAAGGAGACCACAGGCTATAGATTTCACCTCTAAGAGGTCACATCCTTTGATGCATATCATTTCATTCCCAAACTTGACTTTGTGTATACTGCAAAATGTGAAACTCAAGTTGATCCTAGGTAGCCCCAATAACCACATTTCCCTAGCAGCCTTAGTACTGATCAGTAGGGCAAAAGAAATAACAAGAAATCCTATGAACTTCAAAAATAAATACAAAGCCAAACCTCAATGATAAAAGCTTACCTATCATACAATTTATCAGTCGATACAGTCTTATCGGGCTCAAATTGAGCACATTCAACTAAAGAGGGCATGACTGTACTCATGTGAGGAAGAAAATCCTTTCCTATGCACTGACAAATTCGGTTACATGCCTGCGATGAAATCAAGAAAAGCTGAGAGGCCAATATAAAAAGTTCTAAGCTCGTAAAATCAAAGGATTAACACATACCTGTAGAATATAAACAATAGTATCAGACTCTCTCACTTGTGATTTTTGAAATGACTTGAGCACTTCCATAACCTTTAATGACACCAAAAACAGAATTTAAAAAGTTGATGTTGAGAAATGAATGAACGGGTAAGATCACACAAACACGTCGCCAAGAGAAGAACGAGAGCATCAAAAGAGAGGCAGAATGTAGGACAAAAGAGGAACTAGGAGGAGAAGATATATATGAGTCATTAGTCGTTGCTCCCAAGTGCTGAAGACAATGGTAATCCATCTGCAATGGCACTGCTGAAAAATACTCGCTCATGATGATGTTTACACCAAATCAATGGATACATGACATGTGTCGTTGACGCTTTATCACTTGATTGTGGTTAATTAACTTGTATTTTCACCTCAAGTTATCATTAACCATTGATAAATTATGGTTGTATGGTATAAACACCGGGTGTATATAAGTTTTTCCAATAACATGAATATATGTCTTGCGCATCACACGCACATGCAAAAAGATGTAATGCGCATAGTTGGGATAAGACCTGCTCTAAGTCATCTCTGAATTTCTCTTTGCCTACAGCCAATGCAACCAGGCTTATGCACTCGAAGGCTCTGACTTGAAGCTTGTGATTAGATTTATCATTTGCATTTACCCGGATAGTTTTCAAATATGGCATTACAAAATCATAGTACTCTCGGAATTGCTCCTGTTGAAGTATATATGATATATTAGCCATCAATATCAATAACATAAGCAGATACTGAACTGAGTCAAAAATGAATGCAAGTAGGTAATACCTTAGATAAATCAGCAATACCAGACAATGCCTTTAATGCTGCTCTTTGAACCATTTCGTTGTCGTTCTGCATTCCAAACAACAGCAATGAGTAGGAAAATACACCATCAATCTCTTAAACTTGTTAGCAGTAATCTGCCTTTTGTAACAAGGTGGCCTCTAAATTTGCATACCTGTAAAAGTACAAGCTGTTTGTTGAGTATTCTATTTAAGTAGCGTACCAAAGTTTCTGGCTTGTTAGATTTACAGAAATCCGAGACAGCTAAAGCTGCATGTGCCTATGAAAATGCCATAGAAAGTATCATGAAATAAATGAAGTCAGTAATGACAGATCTATACACAATCTTTACGCTGTGAATTCGTCAAACTCTATTAAAGGTCACTTCAGATACCTCCCCTAACATATCTCTGTGTAGTAATTATTTTCTCTCTTGTGTCATATTTACAGTCATTTAAGGTGAGACTTCATGTACACCAAAATATAGTCATAAGCTTAAATTTGAGGCAGTGCGCAATTAAGGCTCCATAAGTAAGGCCAAAGACTCTTGTCAATAAAACATACTAGAATATGTAGAGTTAATTAATTTTTTTCTCTGGATATAACAACAACAAATTTTTTTAAGATTAAAAAGATTAAACCTATACAAATTTATAGATCATCAAGTTTATGGAATATGTAACCCCATTGTAAAGGTGCAGCAACTTAGATACTTTTGCTGGTTGTTTCCTGCATGAATAATAATTTATTCTTTTATAGCTGCAATTGTATTTTGGGAAGTCCACAATAACCATAAAGGGTTCATATCACCGTAGGTCAGACCTGCACTCGAGGATGTTGAAAATCATCCATAGCTGCAGCTAATGCAGGCAATACTAAGTTATGGTATTGTACTTGCAAATGTGGACAGAAGTCAATTGAGAACTGCGCAACTGCATTAATAGCAGCCCATCTGACTCGAGGATGAGGATCTTGGAAAGCATGCAGAACCATATACACTATTTGCTCCAAATACTTCATCATCACCTACAAACAAAGAAACCATGGGCTCAAGATAATAGACGAAGAAAATTAAATTAGAACTAATAGGGGCTAGTGGCAAACAATCTTATCTATCCCAGCAGTTTGCTAGCGAAAAAACACCTCTTAAATGCTACAAAATCATCGCAACATAATCATGAATGAGACATCAGATTTGTACCTTTGAGCTTCCTTCAGCTATCTGAGAAAGTGCAATGAGAGCTGCGTGCCGTTTCTCCCACTCAGGGACTATCAAATAAGCATCCAGCTGCTCTAGTGCAATAGGAGCTATAGTCTTGCCACCTAATGCTTTAGAAAACCGGCTTAAACACTCCCGACCATAAATGTAGTTATCAGTAACCCCTGCCTGGTCATTCCAGATCTCCGAACTATGCCAGCTAGGCTTGTCCTTAATATCCAGCAACAAATTCAACAACACTGCAAAACAAGTGGTAGTAAACAAAGGCAGCTTCTTCATCATACCAGGGGCCTTCTCCCTAGCCTCAACCAAAGCTAATACGAACTCAATTGCCAAGTGCCTTGTCCTTTCTTCCAAACTCTTATCCTCTGCTATGTCAAACATGGTACCCACCACATCCACTAGCTGCCTCCTCAAGAACCTAGGTTCATTCTTCGCCAACTTTATAAGAAATAACAGCACCTGCTCTGCTGCATCCTCCCTCCTCTTGTTGTTCAATGTGTCAGTCAAAGCCTTCATCATACCTGGCAATAATTCTTGAAACCGCTCTTTTTCATTAGAACTCGGTACGCTCTGAATAAAGGTGATCACAGCTCTTGCGGCAGTGATCCTCACTTGGAGGTGGAGGGTATCATCATTCAGTGTATTAAGGAATAGCTTGTGCAAATCTTTTACGCAAGGTACTGTTGTTTCGCCTATGTCCTTAGATAGAATCGCAAATATTATGCAAGCTGCCCCTTTTAAGTACGGGTCTAAACTGGAATTAGTGACACATTGGTACAGGGGTGGCAATAATTCAGGCCAGGTTTTATCTGCACGAACTGAATCAATAAGCGTCCAAACAGTTATAAGGAGCTCTTGAATGATGAATCCTGGTTCTTCAACGGAGAAACGATCAACGATCATAGATTTGATGATAGATTGAGTGGAGACACTTAGATTATGCCAAGTGCACAAGTCATTATCATTAAGCAACTTGCGAAGGAGTCCAGCACACCTTTCACGGTAATAAATGTCATGGGAAGGGCCAAGATAGTCAACAAGCTTAAGAGCAATGGACTCTGGATCCTTTTGCTTCATCATGTTGAACATCCACTCAGCCTCGGATCGTTTCTCCTCAGAGTTGGACCAGTGATCGGAAATAAAGGTTTGAAATGGCTGTGAATCAGGCCCCAGAATCGCCTCCATCTGGAACTGAATCAACTCGCTATCCATTACTGTATAGTATATTTTGAAAAGAGAAAGAGAGAGAGGGACACTACTATGGGGTTCTCAGAAATGTGCCATTGACTTACTTCCCTAAGAAAAACCTTTTTTGTGATAGGCTTAGAAGACTTTTAAGAGATTAGAAATGTGATCACGAGACATTATCTCCCATTAAGATTAAATATAAGAAAATCACAGCTAACAAAAAATATACAATAATACAACTTGATGGCTCAAAGGTCAATATCACAATATACTATTGAAGTCCATGGTTCATATTATTACATTAAAGCTTGTCTTATGAATGATTTCGTTTCTAATTTGGAAAGATAATAAGATTAGAAAGTTTACTGCACCTTAAAGTCAAACAACGCCAATATGTTGTTTGTTGGTAAATTGGTAAGTCGAACATGAATATAAATTGTTTAGACTACTTAATTATTCACACATTCATTGAATGATGAAGCTAGGCAACAATTAGGTATATTTTAGTAAAGTTATAAGAGAATCATACACAATACTTCTCCTCAAATCTCAAGGCGTGAATGATGAAGCTAGGCAACATTAAGAGTACTTTTTAATAAAACTAAATTTATATTAATTTAAGAACTTTTATTAAGAGATTTAAAATCTGAATGAAACATTGTCGCGCATCCTGAATATTGAATATTAGGAAGTCACAGCATAAAAAAAAATATCATGATGTAACTTGATGGCTTCAAGGTCTATAATATAATAGTAATGATTTCAATATTCATACTGTATGTCAGAGTCAGATGCTAGATACCGAATTTTCAGGAACTCCTTCAAAAATGGGGGAATGCTCTCTCCAACTCAATTCAACGACGCGCTGACTTGGTACCAATTCAAACCTTAGCCTGCCTTCATTTTTTCCAATCATCATTTGCTCGGCCATGTGAAGGCTGTTTTTGTAATCAAACTATTAGCCTTCACTGCCATTGAAAAAGACTTTGCCTTTGGCGTTAATCTTAAGAGGAAATTGTCTGATAGCTTGAGAGTCGTCTCCCTCTAGATCTCTCAATCAATACAGTAATGGATACCTGTTTGTCTCAGTGCCAAAATGCCCAGATGAAGACGATTCTGAGGCCTGGCTTTAGAGTTCCGTTAGAAACCTTCATTTCCGATCACATGTCGTGCTCCGAGAAAATAAATTCGGAGGCTGTCAATGTCAATGTCAACTTCTCCTTATATACCCCTCTATTTTTGCATATTATATATATTTAACTTTCGTTATATTATCTGGCTGAATTTATCCCTACCGTTATACTATCAGGCTAAATTTATCCTTATCGTAAGTGAACTTTTAAAAATTATACATTAATCTGTTAAGTAATTCAAATATTTAAATCACTTATTATTTTTCTTACTCCACTATTTTCAAAAATTATTATTTATGTGAATGCTAGACGTACTAGATTATACAAAATATTCATGGATATTTTCTTAATTATCAATGCACTAACTTCTCTTCTTGTGATAATGGGTTCAGAATTGGTATAAAATTTTATTTAGTTTTCAACCATATAAACACCGTAGAATTTAGTGGGTCTATTTATTGTGTATTATATGCAGCCGATCATAGCATAAATATTCGAATATATTTTGTTATTATCTGGTTAGTATAGAGTTCGATTGACTACCTTAAGAGTGCATAATGTATAGGCATTTGATTAAAGCAAAGTTGAATTCGACAATGTAAAGTTTTCAAGGAACTTCAACTTATATCACTAATACTTGTAAAGTCTCCATATTTTTGGTGCAACGAATTCATTAAAGTTGAAATGTTGTAAATACTTTCGAAATTTAGAAAAGCTACATAATTTAGATTCTTCAATTTACTAAATTTTATTTACTAACGGTTGTATTATTTTTATATTTCTTTCTCTAATTTTTTTTCAATTAATAAAGTAGGTAAATGCCAATTATTTTTAAAATAGTGAATCAAGAAGAAGGATCATTGACTTATTTAAATGATTTGGGAGATTCTAGGTCACTTGACGGACTGAGGGGTAATTTTTAAAAGTTTACTGATGGTTGCGGTAAATTTGGTCGGATAGTATAACGGTAGGGATAAATTTGTCTGGATAGTATAACGAGCTTAAATGTAGATAATATCCGAAAGTAAAGAGGTATATTTGGCCATTTTCCCCCTTTTTGGGGTTAACGGGATGATTTATATATATACTGTGTTTCGATGTCTCAAAAACCTCATTTTAGTCTTTCTCGATTTGCGTGCGAAGTCCGGGTGTTCTTCCGGAAGGCTTATATGTTAAAAACTGAGAAAATCAAGAATTGTTGCCTAAAAAAATTTATTTGAGTTGACTTCGGTCAATATTTTTAGTAATTGGACCCGGATTCGTATTTTGACGGTCCCGGTGGGTCCGTACCGTGATTTAAGACTTGGACGTATGCCCGAAATCGAATTTGGAAGTCCCTAGCCCGAGATATCGGACTTTGTCGAAATTTGAAAGTTAAAGGCTTAATGAATTTGAAATGTTTGACCAAAGCTTGACTTTTTGGATAACGGGTCTGTATTTTGGTTCCGGAACCCGGCATAGGTCTAATACCATATTTATGACTTATCTATGAAATTTAGTGAAAACGGAGTTGGTTTGACGTGATTCCGACGTCCGGTTGTGAAAATAAAAGTTTCAAAGTTTTCTTAAAAATTTCATTTGATTTGGTCTTCAATTCGTAATTTTAGGTATTATTTTGGTGTTTTGATCGAGCGACCAAGTTCGTACGATATTTTAGGACTTGTGTGCATGTTTGGTTTGGAGTCCCGAGGGCTCGGGTGAGTTTCGGATAGGCTACGGAGTAAAAATCAGACTTAGAACATTGCTGGTGCATCAGTTTCTAGTGCAGGCCGCTGATCTCGCATTTGCGAGATCAGGCATCGCAATTGCGAGCTATTCCTCGCATTTGCGAAGATTGGTTGGGCCTCATGATATTCGCATTTGCGAACAATTCTTCTCATTTGCGAAGCGGGTCAAGGGAAGGCAGTGATCGCAAATGCGATAATATATCGCAATTGTGATCATATGGTCGCAATTGCGGAATGGTCAGTTTCGCATTTGCGAACTTTTCTTCGCATTTGCGAAGGCAGCAGGAATGTGGGAGTTTCGCATTTGCGGGATTCGCATTTGCGAAGCCCAGGTCGCGATGCGACATATGCAGCTGAACAAAATATGACTTAGACGGGATTTTTGGTTCATTTCTCAAATTTTCAAATCCTAAAATCTTAGAGGCGATTTTTCCAAGACTTATTCTTCCCCAAATCATTGGTAAGTGATTCTAACCTATTTTCTTTCAATCTTTCACTACTTTTCCTAAGATTTCAACCTAAAATCTAAGGTTTTCCATGGTGGAATTAGGGGGTTTTGGGTAGAAACTAGGAATTTGGTAAATTGGGGATTCAGATCTCAAATTGAGGTCGGATTCCAAAACAAATTACATAACCAGGCTCGGAGATGAATGGGTAATCGGATTTTGGTCTGAATTTCGGGTTTGGACCAAGCGGGCCCGGGTGTTGACTTTTTTAAAAAATGCCTAAATTGAATTTTTGCAATCGTGGGTAGTTCCTAAGGCTTAATTCGAATCGTTTGGTTGGTAATATCTTAGATTCTATTGATCTGGAGGCTTGTTTGAGAGGCAAGGCTGTGGTTGAGCAGTGAGTGATCTTTGGAGCGAGGTAAGTGTCGTGGCTAACTTTGACTTGAGGGAATTAGGAACCCTCAGACTATTTGCTATGTGATATTCATATGAGGCCGAGGCCGTGCTAGAGGCCGAGGCAGGGGCAGGGCTCAGCCCAGATCCCGAGCAGCAGCCCCAGCAGTGGAGCCTCAGGTAGAGTTTGACGAGGAGGTTCTAGCCCAGACTGTTCCTGCACGGCCAGCTCAGGTTCCGGATGGGTTCATTGCCACCCTAGTGCTGCATGACGCTTTGGTCCGTTTGGTGGGCCTTATAGAGAGTGTGTCCCAGACTGTCGCACTTCCCATGGCACCAGCCGGTCACTCAGGCTGGAGTAGGAGCCCAGACTCCTGTTACTCACACTCCGGAGCAGATGGCTCCCCAGTACCAGACTCCAGCAGCTCATCCAGTCAGAGTAGTTCAGCCGGTTGTTGCGGCACAAACCAGTGATGGGTCAGCTATGTCTCATGAGGCTTTGTGGAGATTGGACAGGTTTACCAAGCTCTTTCCAGTTCACTTCAGTGGTGCTACTTTAGAGGATCCCCAGGAGTATCTTGATAGCTGTCATGAGGTGCTACGGAACATGGGTATAATGGAGACCAATGGGGTCGACTTTGCTGCATTTCAGATGACTGGTTGCGCCAAGAAATGGTAGAGAGATTATTTGTTGACCCGACCAGCTGGGTCGCCTGCTCTTACTTGGGATCAGTTCTCTCAGATCTTCCTAGAGAAGTTTCTGCCTATCACATTGAGAGAGGAGCATCGCCGTCAGTTCGAGCATCTCCAGCAGGGCAGTATGACTGTTACTCAGTATGAGACTCGTTTTGTGGATTTGGCCAGTCATGCTCTTCTTCTGCTTCCCACCGAGAGAGAGAGGGTGAGGAGATTTATTGATGGACTTGCCCAGCCTATCAGAATGCAAATGGCTAAGGAGACTGGAAGTGAGATTTCCTTTCAAGCGACTGCCAATGTCGCCAAGCGAGTCGAGATGGTTCTTGCACAGGGAGGTCAGGGGTCTGACAAGAGACCTCGTCATTCCGGTGGGTTCAACGGTGCCTCATCTGGAGGCAGGGGTACTTTTGGTAGAGGCCACCCTCCCAGGCCGTTTCATTCAGCGCTTCAGGCATCCCCTAGTGTTGCAGGGAGTCGTGGTCCATATGTGCCTCATTCTGGATAGCCAACCTATAGTGCACCATCAACTCCTATCAGTGCACCTCCTATTTAGAGTTATTACCATGGTCATCCAGCCCGTTCGGGTCAATCTCAGTTTCCACAGCCACAGTACCAGGATGGATGTTTGAATGTGGTGGTTATGGGCATATCAGGAGGACTTGTCCGAGATTATTGGACATCCCGCCACAGCATCACGGTTCTCGTGCCATGGTTCCGGTACCGGTTGCTGCCCCGCCTGCTCAGCCAGCCAGAGGTAGGGGTCAGGCAGTCAGATGTAGGGGCCAGACTGTTAGAGGTAGATGTCAGGCCGTTAGAGGTAGAGGCTAGCTAGTTAGAGGCTGTCCCAGGGACGTGGTTCGGAGTGGTGGTGCCCAGCCCTGATGTTATGCTTTTCTATCCAGGCCTGATGTTGAGTCATCCGATGTTGTTATTACAGGTACTGTTTCAATTTGCAGTAGAGATGGTTCAGTTCTATTTGATTCGGGGTCTACTTACTCCTATGTGTCATCCTATTTTGCTTCATATTTGGTTGTGCCTCGTGATTCTTTGAGAGTGCTCATGTGTATGTGTCCACACCTGTGGGGGATGCTATTATTGTAAATCGTGTTTATCGTTCGTGTGTGGTCACCATTGGGAGTCTCGAGACTAGTGTAGACCTTCTACTTCTTGATATGGTCAATTTTGATGTCATTTTGGGTATGGATTGGTTGTCACCTTATCATGCTATGTTAGATTGTCACGTCAAGACAATGACCTTAGCCTTGCCGGGGTTGCCTCGATTAGAGTGGAGAGGGACTCCTGGCCATTCTACCAGCAGGGTTATCTCTTATATGAAGGCTCGACGTATGGTCGAGAAGCGGTGTCTAGTGTATTTGGCGTATGTCCGCGATTCTAGTGCGGAGGTTCCTTTCATGGATTCAGGTCCAGTTGTTTGTGAGTTTCCCGAGGTTTTTCCTGCAGACCTGTCGGGGATGCCACCCGACAGGGATATTGATTTCTATATTGACTTGGCTCCGGGCACCTAGCCCATTTTCATTCCGCCATACCGTATGGCCCCGCCAGAATTGAAAGAATTGAAGGAACAGTTGCAAGATTTGCTTGATAAGGGCTTTATTAGACCTAATGTCTCGCCCTGGGGTGCACCTGTGTTGTTTGTGAAGAAGAAAGATGGATCGATGAGGATGTGTATAGATTATCGGCAGTTGAACAAAGTCACCATCAAGAACAAGTATCCATTGCCGAGGATTGATGATTTATTTGATCAGCTTCAGGGTGCCAAGGTGT